GAAGTCATCATGAAGAAGTTGAAAGAGGGAAATTACGATCTTCTCTTGGCGGACCCCGTCAAAGCTGGCAGTGACTTAGTAGCAGATATTTTGGGGATCCCACTCGTCTTGTCCTTTCGCAGCTCCCCAGTTAATAACTGGGAGAGGCATTGTGGTCAGATGCCTGCTCCACCATCCTTTGTTCCCGGTGCTATGAGCAAACTCACAGATAAGATGGACTTCTCAGAGAGAGTGTGGAACTTTCTCTTCTATGCTCTCCACGACATTGTGATTGATCACACTTTTTGGAGCGTATTAGACAGATATTACTCTGATGTCAAAGGTGAGCAAATAGGCGTGAAGCACTGACTTAAACCATTTGAAATCTGCTAATAATACAAGCACAGTTTTTTAATATCCCATCAGATCTAATTAAGAAAATATGATGCCTTGCATAAACTATTGGTGATACATTGATGTCCATTACTTATGCACTGCAACAGGAACTCCCACCAGTGCCTGTGAGTTGATGAGTAAAGCAGACATCTGGTTAATCCGAACCTACTGGGATTTTGAATTCCCTCGTCCTTTCCCCCCCAACTTCAAATATGTTGGTGGGATCCACTGCAGACCTGCTAAACCTTTACCAGAGGTAAGGACACTCAACTATTACCATCTAATTAATCATTACATCACAGAATATTCCTGCCAGGAGCAGTGAAGCCATCAAAATGTTGCAATGAGAAAACAGCTGGTTGGCTGGTGGTGGGATAATATTTGACTTGTTACAGGATCTGGAGGAATTTGTGCAGAGTTCTGGAGATGATGGCATTGTGATCTTCACTTTAGGATCCATGATCAACAACGTCACCAAGGAGAAGGCAAACATGATAGCTTCAGGCCTCGCTCAGATCCCACAAAAGGTCAGAGGATAATCTTTGTGCCAACTGTAATCAGTTTGTTCAAACCCTGAAAGCATGGAGTAGTTTTTCATGATTTAGATAACCAGTTTCAGAGTGCTCTACTTCTGAAAACCAGAACTACCAAAACTACAATTTTTTAATGACATTGCAGAGTGTGGACATTTGAACGTGCAAGTGCCCAGTTTCCATGTTATTTCCACAATATTTATGTTTGTTTTCCTAATACAGAGTGTGAAAAATCTGACTTTGTCAACAGCTGATGATTTCTAATGACAAGTTAACCTCACGCTTCAATATACAGTTAGGTCTATTAATATTTGGACAGAGACATCTTTTTTCTAATTTGGCTTTTGTAATTTTAAATGATATAACTCGGATGCCATTGTAGTGCAGACTTTCAGCTTTAATGCCAATACCTTGCATGAAAATGTGAGGAACTAAAGCATTAAAAAAAAAGGAGAAAAAAAAAGAAAACACACAATCCCTTCATTTCAGGGGCTCAAAAGTAATTGGACAAATTACATTGAATAAAAATGAAAATAAAATGTTCATTTCTAATACCTGTTTGAAAACCATTTGCTGGCAATGACAGCCTGAAGTCTTGAAGTCAAGAAAATCACAAGATAGTGGGTTACCTCCTTTTTAATGCTCTGTCAGGCCTTTACTGCAGCGACTTTCAGTTACTATTTGTGGGCTTTTCTGTCCAAAGTAAGAAATTAATCAGTCTGTCAGAAATTTGTATCAACAGCAGGAATGACCCCACTTTTTAAATTGCTCCTGTGAACCCATTTTTGACACCAGGAACATAAAAACACACTGTTGTGTAGACATGTCCTCATGGTTCAAAGGGTCTTTTTGATAGGAGTTACGGTTTTGGATTTAGAAGCAGTTTTTCAAC